GGTCGCGGCGCCCGGATTCCTGGACGCGTGTTGCACGCGGAATCGAGGCTGGCGCGAGACCCGGTATTCTAAAATTCCCTTAAACGTTCGGCCGCGAACGAACACGGGAACGCACACGGGAACGCACACGCGTGCGCCAACGAATCGTTGCTTAATCGCGACCAGCGAATGTGTCATTACGGGGATAATTATCGGACGCGAGTACAAGCGGGACCAACGACTCTCCGAAAATACGTGTACACCCATTAGCGGGACGCGCAAGGCCGTTTCGTAATGGAAAATTATGTCAGAATTATGCAGCCCGTTCGAGACGAAGGCTTGCTTTCCAAGCTGCTCGAAGCCGATAACCTCGGCTCGCCTCCCGGTCGAACGCTTAATGAGACATCTTCATTAATGAAACGTCCCACGCGTCCAGCTCGTTTTCCATTACAACAGGCTTACGAGCCTGTTTTTGTTCGGCCATGATTGGCTCTACGTTGTCGAGGGAAAATCAACGGACACAACATTTTCACCGCTACGCTTCGTAACCAATTTCGTAATGGACGTCTAATTGGCCGGGCTCGTGATTAAAACGCCGAGATACTTGGAGGTTTCCTAACGATATACGCTGCGCTCCACCAAACTTTCGACCGTTACCGATACTAATTTGCGATGTTCGATCCAAGACCGTAGAACGTAAATACGAAGGAGGTGTCGTAATCGCGCGCAGTCCCTTGTCCCGATCGACGGCGAGAAAAAGCGTCGTAAAACGATCCGTGGCAACTCGTCGAGCACGCTCGTTCCATCCTCTGTTCGATCTCGTTTGCACGACCTTTGGACGCGGGCGGCTTCGCTTCGGGATCGGGGCACGTTCCGTGCATTCGCGCTTTTTCCTCTAAGCGTTAAAAGTCGCTCGTTGCCGACCCGCTTCGCGGTCTCCCGGTATGCCTTTACCGGACTTAATTATATGGCCGGGTTCCGTAGCCGGGATCCGCTTTGAAAAATCCATCGGCGTCCAATTACCGGGGCCGACACGGCCGATACGAGAAACACCGTTTTTCTACTCGCGCGTTGCGTTACACGGCCAACCACGGACCGCCTCTGCCTTCGAGGGCGTGCGGGTGCTTACCGTGAGATTAATTAAACGAAAATCAGGATCGTAACTTTCGGGTTTGTAGGTCGTAAAAGCAATCGGTGGACGCTTTTACGGCCTTGTCCGCGCGCGCTGCGTCGCGATTCTTTCGGAGGACGTTCGCGAAACGGCCATGAAGCGAGCCGCGAAGTTAACCCACTTCGAAACGGTAAAGAGCCCTTTGCGAATTTTCATCCATGCGTCGAACTCTCCGAGGATTAC